CCTCGCCTGGGAGGCCGACCTGGGGATTCTGATTCGAATCCAGGTTGTCGATCCTCGGATCGGCGACACGACCAAGTACTAGTTGAGACTCTTGGTTGGAGGAGACGGCAGGACAGTCGAGGAAGGCTCCCTTTCTTGCACCGAGAGCTGGTGCCGGGCTGAATGACTGTATCACCGGCGCGGAATTCACGTCAAGTGGAGAAGTCACACGGAAATCACTAACATCGCACCTACCTTGACCCTGGGCCTGTGTGGCTGAACGGAGGGGGGCTGGAGAAGTCAAGTCTCCTATGACCTGACTGCGATGCGTGGTCCCTGCAACTTCCTCTTTTCTGCATACAGCGTCGACACCGTCATCGATGAGGGAGCGTGGGCGATCCTCGCGCTGTCGTCGTGTCGTCTTTTTATTTCTCGATGTCATCTTCACGGAGCTCGGCCTGTTCCGTACTGCTGATGATATCCAAGGTAATAATGCACAGAGTGAACGTTCTTGCGGAGATGATAATCTCCCCGTTCTACCCCTTTCGTGCCAAAACGTGAGTGTAACTTTTCTCTCAGTGAAGTGCAGTTGTGGGGGTTAAAACCACCTTTTGTTTTTTTTCAAACAATATGGCAACCCCACAACTCACAATAGGTATTCGGTGTATTTCGATATTTCGACCCGTTTCAATACCCCACCCGAGGGGTTAGCAACTCGAATTTTATTTTACGTCCCGCGGACCTATCCGTTCGCGACGGCGGTCGGGCCAGGAGTGCGCGGCTCGACTGGCTGTATCGCTGAGACGGAACGATTCGGCGTTCTCGGCGGACTGCTCGGATGCTGCTAGGCAGAGTGGTCGCGGAGAACTGGAGAGGGCATCGTGGTATCTGCTCGCTGCTGAATCTCTTCGATCTCTCTCGAATCTGTTGAATCTGTTACTCCGATCAAATTTTCGCGTTCTTATAAAGGATTAGGGCGGACCGAACACTGAGCGCTCGCGCTCGCTGGCGTCGAATCTCAAAAAGGCCCCCTAATCACTCTTGTGCAAAAAATGATCGTTTTTGATATTCTTTGATTTTGACGAAACTTGGCACGATTGAAGATCTGAACGTTCTGATTCTGAATCTGCAGTTACTTTTTTCCTAACTTGTCGTTTTCGAAAGTTATAAAGCGCGGTTCGCGACACCTCCCCACCTATTGTGAAGTTGTTTTGGGTGCGTTTTTACGCAGAGCCTTTATTTTCACAATAATAATGGTTTACATAAGGTTTCAGTCGCATAATGCTTACAAACCCTGCAAGAGAAGAATATTCACAGAAATCGTTCAATTATTACAAAAATGGTATACATTTCTTATCAGTAATATCTTACAATCGTTGATTACCTCGTTGCAAAAGTGCGTTCGGCACTTCTATTCAGCAATGTGTTATAATCGTTAACCAAGTAGTTGCAAAAATGCACTTGGCATTTCTATTCAGCAATGTCACATAATCTTTGATTCAGTAGTTGCAAAAATGCGCTCGGCATCTCTATTCAGCAACTTTACTAAAATTGACCAAGTAGTTGCAAAAATGCGCTCGGCATTTCTATTCAGCCACTTTACCTTGGTACACGATTTCTCCTGAAATTAACCAACAATTTTTGGTTTCCTTAAAACTACCCTATCACGGAACTATATACAACAGTGACAGGTGCTCTGATACCTGTCAACTGCAAGGATAAACTATATCTAATATTTTACAAGTGGCTTCTACTCCCGTGAGTAGCAATCTGGTTGTTGTCTATCTCACGGTTTCCAACAAAGTCCGATTGGAACGGAACCGCGGTTTCGCGCACACAAACGCACTGTTCACTGCACGGTAAACTAGGGCTTATGTTACAACGTTATTACAGTGAAAATCAGAGCTCTATCGCGGAGATACGTGGTGATAGTGTATGGTGGGCGTGAAAACCATTCAAAACACTTCATACTCCCCCCCTTCGGATAGTTGCATGGCTGGTTGGGCTCGACGTGTCCAACTTGAAAAATCGAGATATATATATAGTTTTCATCACTAGTTTAGGGTGAGAACGGAAGATCTTCAGGGAGAATGTCTTGAGACTCATCCTCGTCCGGACGTGGAATGAGGATGTCTCGGGCCCTAGAGTTTATTACTCTATATCGGGTTCTCGATGGTCTGAGGTCATCTACGTGAAGTTGTGCAACCCCATTATCGTGGAGGACCTCATACGTGACATCATCGAGTTGTTTCACGACTTGATATGGACCCACCCATTTCTTTGCAAATGGTTCATTTCGACGTTCGCGCATCATGACCTGGTCTCCAGGCTGAAATGAGACAGCGGGGGGTCAGTAGCGTGCGGGAACAAATCCCTGGCGTACACAATCTGCTTTCGGCGCGCGTCCTCGCGCTTTCGCCGAAGTTCAGCCGTCTGCTGGGCACGTTCGACTTGGAAATTGGGGTGTTTCCATTCGCCGGGCCTAGGAAGGGTGTAGCCAGTGACATACTCGGCCGGGGTGATTCCCGTGGCGAGATTCGTCCTGTTTCTCAATGCGAAGAGTATGCTATTTAAGTCTCTTTCCCAGCTCGTGGGCAGTGTTGACGACATCACTCTAGCTCGTATTGCCTTTTTCAACTCCTGATTCCGTCTCTCCACCGGATTCGCTCTCTGGTGATATGCCGATGAGATACGGTGTTCGATGCTGTTCTTTTCAAGATACTCGACCCACTGTCTACCTTGAAAAGTGCTGGAACCATCTGTGATCACGAGTTTTGGGTATCCCCATCTCGTGCACATGTTATGCAAGAAACTAACGGCTGTTTTTGAGACTACATCTGGTTTGGGTTCGGCCTCTACCCATTTACTCGCAATGCAAGTACCGACAAACAGGATCGTATTTCCTGTTTGGGTCCTCGGGTAGGGCCCCATGGGATCAATACTGATGACTTGGAAGGGTCCTTGAGGGAGAATAGGCCTCTGGGGGGCGGCTGGCTGTGCCGCGCCTGGTTTCGTACAAGTGCAAACTAGACAAGCGTGTACGAAGCGTTTCACTAGGTCCTTCAGACCAGTCGCGTAGTACAGTCTAGTTGCTGACTTATATGTTTCCAGTACCCCAGGGTGACAGGCATCCTCATGATCGTGGAATCTATGGATTAGTCGGGCAAGCTTATGTTTCGGAACTACAAGCTGCCTAGCATGACTACCCTCCACGGACGATTGTTTCCACAAAAGATCATCCTTAACCTCAAAAGAATTCCAAAGTCGACTCTCCCATGGTTCCAAACGTTCTCTTTCCTCTGGTGTCAACGACCTTAGCATTTCCCAATGACTTACCGCGTCCTTCACCTCAGGACAGTCTTGTTGGGAAGCTGCAATTTCAGCGAACAGATCGTCGCGCTCGAGAAGAGAACACGTTTGCGGACTAGCACGATCTGATTCCTCATCAGACTCGGTTTCAGGCGTTTCCTTATAGTCCGGCACCACTAAACGGCTATCATCCGGTTGTTGGCACTGTATATTGGCCGGGTGTCGCGACAAGTAATCCGCCAACTCATTGTCCTTGCCTTGGCAATGATGGATCTCAAATGAGAATTCTTGCAAATGAAGAGCCCACCTCGTTAGCTTAGCTCGTTCATCCTTGAACTGGTTTAGCCAAACCAGAGCTTTGCTATCGGTTACAAGATGGAACTTTTTCCCTTCAAGATACGGCTGGTACATTTTACATGCCCATATAACCGCCAAGCATTCCTGCTCATTTATGTGATAGCGCTGCTCAGCTGGCTTGAATTTAGCGCTGGCATAACTGATCACTCTCTTTTGCCCGTCCGCCGATTTTTGGTATAGCACGCATCCCATGCCTTGCTTAGAGGCATCAGTTTGTATCCAAAAGTCTAAGTCGTTCTTAGGCCTGTACAACTGTAAGGGTTGGGTCATACTATCCTTCAAAGCTTGGAACGCAGCCTCAGCTGCCTCGTTCCACTTGAAAGGGTTTTTGGTGGAAGTGAGGTCTGTAAGAGGGCCGGAGATGTCCGCGAAGTTCGGTACAAACTCCCTCAGCCAATTTGCCGTTCCTAGGAACTGTCGCAACTCTTTCCTTGTTTTTGGTCGTGGATGTTCCGTTATGCTGGCTAAATGACAGGCTTGGGGTCGGTTTATCTCCTGCGAGATTACAAAACCTAAATACTCCAATTCTTTCGCAGCAATTGAGCATTTCTCGATGTTCACCGTCAGGTTATGCGCCCGAAACCTTTCCAAAACGAGATGAACGTGTTTTTCGTGATCTTCCCAATTATTGGAATAGACCAACACGTCATCCAGGTAGATTTTCACGAATTTATCGATATAACCTGCCAACACTTCTGCCATGAGCTTGGTGAAGGTGGCTGGGGCATTTTTCAGCCCAAACGGCATCACCGTAAATTCGTACGCTGCCCCGTCGGGTGTCACGAAGGCCGTCATATGAGCGGCTCGTTCGGACATCTTCACCTGCCAATAACCAGCTAACAAATCCATAGACGTAAAACATTTCGCCTCTCCCAAATCCCGAATGGTTTCGCGGATATTGGGCATTTGCGTGACTTCATCTACTGTTATCGCGTTCAGCTTCCGGTAATCCACGCAAAATCGAACTTCCCCATTCTTCTTACGCACCAAGACAATAGGCGACGCGAAGTTGGAATTGCTGCGTCGGATGACTCCCTTACTAAGCATCTTCGCAACTTCTGCCTGTATTATTCGTCTTTTCTCAGGTGTGTAAGTGTAACGACGTTCTCGGACAGTAATATTGTTTCTCAAAACAATATCGTGACGGGCGGTGGCTGTATGCGCCATCCCCCAATCTTCCGTGAAAACATCCGGAAAATTTTGTATCACTTTTGCAATTTCCGGTGGAGTTCCGCTAGGAACTGCAACACTGGTATTCTTACGACGGGCCTGGTATAACCAACTAAGAGCATGCCGCTTCTCGACCCCCACGTATACCACATGATGCATGTAATCCACTATCGCTTGTTCCGCCAGATGCCAATCTACCCCTAAGATCATTTGATCTTTTAGGTTCGGAAAAACGTGGAACGTATGACAAAACCATCTATCTTGAATACTGAAATTCAACTTAACCTTTCCCAAAGTCTGAACGGAACTTCCAGCTTCTGCAAGCTGGATTTCCACGGATTTGCCTTCCACCCTGTATCCTTCTATCACATCGGGGTGTATGAAAGATATGGACGCCCCACTGTCCAAAAGGGCCCAAATCCGTTTCTTCTTCACTTGGGCTTGAAAACGAATGAGTCGCGGACTCGATCGTTTACTCTCATTCGCGGAAAGTGCTGTCACTTTCGACTGGTCGGAGATC